TGACGGCACAGCAAAGGATGTCACTGTAAGATATGTACCCAAGTGGCCTGGTCGGACAAGGGGTGTCCGCATGCCTGTTGAGAAGATACCCATACACAACAAACGCGGCAAAGTCAAACGGTGGGAAGAGTGGGACTGGGTGAAGTCGCAAATGCGGCCCTATGCACGACCTCACGACAAGCGTCAGCCATGGGATGAAGTTGAAGACGAAGGTGACCTTGTCTTGGTACAACCAGAAAAGAAGAAGGAAATGCACGAAGGCGGAAAGGAGACGCTACAGGGCTATAAGAACTCCACTGAATACGTGCTCGAGCGCCACCTGCGTCGCGAGGAGGCACTTATACCCGGCGCCAAGATCGTTCGACATTTCACCTTCGGCACAAGCGGCAACGAGAAAACCGAGCCGGTATATCTGCGCAAGGACGTTGTAAACTGCAAGACCCAAGAATCCTGGCACAAAGAAGGCCGAGAGGTACGGGAAGGTGAACAGCCCCTCAAGCTCGTACCTAGGCGGGCTGTTACGGTGACACGTAAACGCGAGATGGAAGAGCAGGAACGTCTTGAAGGCGAGAAAGTGAAACAAGGTCTCTTCTCTAAAGCGCAGACGGACTGGATCATTCCTGATCCTATCGTTGACGGTAAAATCCCACGTAACTCATACGGAAACATTGACGTTTATGTGCCCACGATGGTGCCGAAAGGCGCTGTTCACGTTCCACTCAGGGGTACGGCGCGCATATGTCGCAAACTTAACATAGACCACGCGGAAGCGTGTACCGGGTTCGAGTTCGGGAAGCAACGCGCTGTGCCTGTCATAACCGGTGTTGTGATTGCACAGGAGCACGAGGATATGCTCATCGATGCTTGGGAAGTTGAAGAGGCGGAAAAACAGAGAAAAGAGAGAGAAAAGAGGGAGAAGTTCCTTTTGGGACTTTGGAGAAAATTTGCGAGTGGACTGAGAATCGTGGAAAGAATGCGAGAAGAGTACGGTGAGGATGTCGAATTGCCAGTGAAGGAAAACGCGGTATCACCCGAAGGAGATGGTGGGGAGAAGAAGTCGCAATGGGAAGTGTTTCAGAACCACACCGATTTCGAGGGCGGCTTCATGCGCGGCGATGGCGCTGATTCTGGCGGTGGCTTCGTACCTGAACGGACGCACCAGAGTACACACCATGATGATGACATGGCTGGTGGTTTTCTACCAGCAAGTCAAGACGATCCTGAGCATGGGGATCTAACCATTGACCACGGCGAAAAGAAAGATGTGTCACGCGCGCCCGTGGCGGAAAGTACATATCGCACACCGATCTCCCTCACGCAGGCGCTTCAGCAGCCGCCCAGCGAATTCAGCGAGCATCCTGATGAAGATGCGGACGAGGATATGGACGCGCCTGAACCTCCAGAAGACGAAAACAACGACGAAGAAGACGACGAGGATATGCCTCAACCAAAATCTACCCGTCGCAAGTCGAACGCCACATCTTCAACTCGTGGTCGTGGTCGTCCACGTGGTCGCGGAGCCAAACTCATGACAGCGTCCACGCGAAAACGTAAGTCTACGGTCATAGAATCAGGGTCTGACAACGACACACCCTCTGGCGCTCCTTCCGACCCACCAACACCACCGCCATCTACACGTTCAGCGCCGAGGCGTAAGGCAGCCAGGAAAAGTGACGCACAAGTCAAGAGCCACTTCTTTGCCGAAGGAAGCGATGGTGAGACGGATATGACGGATATGACTGAGCGGAATTCGCCAAGAAAGAAGACGGCTGCGACACGAGGACGCGTGAGTGGCAAAGGCAGAGGGAGTGGACGGGGAAGAGGTAGAGCGGGGAAAGCCAAGTAGCAATACGAGAGTAGGGTATTGACACTGAGGCAGACGTGCAAAATCACTCGAGCTAATCTTGAAGATACGGTCAGAGGGCATGAATTCTGTCAGCCTACACTAGGGCTAGACCAGTGAGACAGATCTCACGATCCGCCTGTGCCAGTGCGCTTACCTCATCCGATAGCGTGGCGGAGCCCCGATCCGACTACCACATTACATCATCTCTTCCCCAGATTCCTCCCACATGCGCAAAATTTCCGAAACTCAAAAGCGCAAAGATGCGAAAAACTTCAGCGTCAAAAGTCAATAGCAACTAAGTATTGCCGCATTCAGAAGGCACTCGCGAGTCGACGCCATGCATGCAGCTCTGTTTTTAGAACAGCCCAGCGTCGCTAGATGCGCCTGGGCAAGTCTTGGTTCCGCCGCTGCATCCTCCCGAATCTTGGCAAACTTCTGTACCCGACTTTCCCCCCTAACTCCCTCGCCCGAACAGTCAGCTTGTTGAAGCCAAGGTGCGCCGTCGCACAGCTGAGAATTGCTTCTTTATCGCCGTTCTTATCGCGCTGGGAGCCCTCCTACACCCGGTCCTTACATGAATGACAGCATGACAGCGGCGGCAATTCGATGGTCCGGCAGTGCTAACACTGGTAGCGATGCGTTGTTGGGGTTTGCCTGCAGCACTGTTATCCCAATCGTACGCCAAAGTACGGTAGGCATGCTCTGGGCGCGGCCCATGTGGGAATCTCCCCCAACATCCCGAATGCCACGCCCGCCGTCTCCTTCGTATTCGTTCTGAGGTGTGCCGGCGCGAGCGCCTCTTGGCTATAATGCGCGATGTTTGATCTGCGATACCTAGCTCGCACGCTCATTAGTTGCCAGAAACGTCATGCTCTCCGGTCTTTTTCTATCGATGCGTCGAGATGTGTGCATGGGGTTGGCATTTATAAGTATATTGCTGCTGCTGTTGTTTTATTTTATTGCGCCCCGTCCCTACACCGGCCTTTATCAGTCTCTCACTTTGCCAATCTTTTCCTTTGGCAGCTGTCACTCGCTTTAAAGACTTTGACTTTGGTCTTGTTGTTAATTATCTAATTTTTTTTTGGAAAGATGCGCTTCTCCGAGTTCCTTACCGTCGGTGTTGTGGCGCCTCTTGTGGCTGCTCATGGTGGAGTCCCAGGGGCACCCAAGATGTTTGGTCTACCGAGAGACTTGCAAGCCGACTTTAAACCTCCTGTCGCTGCTCGTGTGCTTCGACACCCCGCTCAGCCAAGGGATGGCATGCTGGAAACCCGCCAAGGTGGTCAGAACGGCCGTTGCGGACCCAGCTTCGCTAACGCCAAGTGCGCTGCGGGCTACTGCTGCTCAGGTGCCGTATGTTGATCTTAGACGTTGAACTGTTACAATAGCTGACTTGCTCTAGGGATACTGCGGAACGACTAAAGATCATTGTCAAGCTCCTGACTGCTTGATTGACTTTGGCCCGGCTTGCGACGCCAACAAGACGCCTGGTGGGGCCAGCACACGCAACGACCCCCGTCCTCAGAGGGGCAGCGTCGCATACGGAGGTGGTGGTGTCTACGCCTGCAAGAAGGCTGGCACTGTCGCCATCACCTATGATGATGGGTAGGCTCCTTCACAATCCCACATGTTGAGAGCACGACTAATCAGAATTCAGTCCATACATCTACACCGACCGCGTCCTCGACCAGTTCGCCACATATGGCTTCAAGGCCACGTTCTTCGTCACGGGAATCAACCTCGGAAAGGGCGCAATCGACAGCACAGCGCAGTGGTCCAACGTGATCAAGCGTATGGTTGCCGAAGGTCACCAAGTCGCATCCCACACATGGTCTCACCAGGATCTCAGCCAAATCACTGATGCGCAGCGCTACGACCAGATGGTTAAGAACGAAATGGCTATCCGCAACATTATCGGAAAGTACCCCACATACATGCGTCCTCCTTACTCGTCTTGCAACGACGCTTGCCAAGCAGTGATGAAGAACTTGGGATACGTAGTCAGCTACTTCGACTTGGACACGGATGACTACAACCAACTATCTAACATCCAGGTTGCCAAGAATAACTTCAAGAACAAGATCGACACAACCGTTGGTGGTCCCGCCTCAGGTCACCGCCTCGCTATCGCCCACGACATCCATGAGCAGACTGCCCTCAACCTTACTGGCTACATGCTCGAGTACCTCAAGTCAAAGGGCTACCGCGGTGTCACCATGGGCGAGTGCATGGGTGAGCCCGAGGCGAACTGGTACCGTACTGCCACTTCCGGCGGCTCTACTACCCCTCCTGCCACCGGTGGTGGCGGCGGCGGCAGTGGTACTGCTGTTTCCACTGACGGATCTTGCGGCTCAGGCAAAGGAACGTGTGCTGGATCTACCTTTGGCAACTGCTGCTCTCAATACGGATGGTGCGGATCATCCACTGATCACTGCAGCGCCGGCTGCAACTCTGCCTTCGGAACCTGCACTGGCACTGGTGGCAGCGGTGGCGGCTCAACTACCCCCGCTCCGGCCAAGAAGGTCTCTACTGATGGCACTTGCGGAACTCAGGGTGGTGCTACTTGCGCTGGTTCAACATTCGGTAACTGCTGCTCGCAGTATGGATGGTGCGGATCTACTTCAGGCCACTGTGGTTCTGGATGCCAGAGCGGATCCGGCACTTGCAACTAGAACTTCGTTCATGAGAGGAGCATTTAGACCTTACTCGTGTAGAGGCGATGCTCATAACGCAGCTCTGTATGCGTGTTAATATAAGAAAATAATACAAACAAATACACATACTCTTACAACTCCTGACGTCTCCGCAACTGTGTGAGTGATTACTTTGGAGAATGACAACATCGTCAATTAGGATCGATATCTAGGATTTGGTCGATTTATGTGAAGATGTCGAACTGCACTTCGCAGCGCACACTTGAAGTGCTCGCACAGTTCACGGAGTAAATGGTCATGGCTGTTGAAGCAATGGAATTCCAGAGACTGATCACAGGCAGTTCATGAAGAGCAATATCTACATCTTTTCCGCAACATGATTTGCAAAAACCTCTTCGTACGCACTCCAGCAAAAGTGCAGCGAAGAATTACCACCCGTTTCATACTCTCAAGCATTTACTTCAACTATCCATATCCCCTGACTACTTCTCTCGAAGACCATGGCATTAGCGGTACTTCCAGCAATCATCGTCAGTTTTGTGATCGTCGTGGCATCGCTCGGTACATTCTACATCTACAGGGCATACAGGCGCGTGCGCTATGCAGTCCACGATGTGGAGCGCAGCCGCCATATCGAAATCGCCGGTCTCTCGCAACAGCGGCCCATTGAACTTCATGATCTCGAAGTCCCGCATAAACAATATCACAGCGGTCAGTGGTACGGCTCCCAGGGTGTAGTTCCTACACAGGTCGCGCTGGCCGCGAAACCACTGCCGCATACTCCGGAGATTGAGTACACAGGAGGTGACGGGCTTGTCAGACCTCCTGGGCGAGTCTTTCTATCCACTGAGGTACAGCAACCTGAGCTTCTCTCTCCAAAGCCTGTGCGCACGGTGACCAAAAGGCCGAAGGTAGAGCCTGCGAGTACCGCATATGACTCAGATCAAACGGCAGCGTCGGAAATCTGGGACAAGATTGAGAAGGGCGAGTTAGAACCGTCACGGCGTAAGGCGCCAATACCCGAAGTACTCCGAGATCCTTCAGAGTTTGAACGCGACACCATGACAGACGTCGACATTGATAGTAGCACCAGAGAATGGGCAAAACCCAATCGCCCCACGCTGCCATTCACACCACGCTCAAACAAACGCGAGTCGTCTGACAGCATGGCTACTGTTGTCGACGCTAACAACGCGAATATCGAACGCCCCCAATCATACATTAAGCGCAAACAAAGCATTGGCACAGGAGCGATCAAGCCGACTGAACCGCTAGATCGAGCTGCAGAGGCGCGCCGCCAGATGGCGGAAAGGAAGAAGCAAATGGTGGAAAGGCAGAAGCAAGAGGAAGCTGATCGTCTAGCAGAGGAGCAAAGGCTGGTAGACGAACAAAAGCAGCGCGCAGCTGAACAACAGAGACTAGCTGAAGAGAAGCAGCGACAGGAAGATGAGGAAAAAGCCCGCTCGTTGGCACAAGTTTCCGATGACGAAGATATTGATCTAGACAATAAGAGGCCCTCTGACTCTCAAAGACCGCGCACTCGCCGGAGATCCGACTCTTCCTCCAAGTCGAAGCGTGAGCGCAAGAGTCGTGAAACGTTGCTTACACGAACTCCCAAGCGAGCGTATACCTTCGCGAACGACGCTTCCGATGGTATCGACAACCCCAACACGGACGAAAATACCAGTAGCAACAGTAAAGGAAGCTCTAGGAGCATGAGTATGAATGATCAGGCAAGGCCAGACTTCAACGCGACCATGCCGTCAATTGCCGAGGGAGCCCATGTCGACCCTTTCTCTGACAACGCAGCAAGACGGTCGCACGGCTCCATCAAGAAATCTGTTTCGTCAATGTACTCTCCCGATCACATTTCATTAAACGATGGCGAAGGAAACTACACCTCGAGGCCTGCCGACTACAAACGTAGGGCCGCGCCTGAAGACACACTGGAGAACCCGTTTGCCTCTGACAACGACCCCCAAGACCCCTTTGCGACAGCGCAGAGATCATCAGCTGCGTCAAGCAACGACAGTCGAGTGTCATTCTCGCAAGTACAGCGAAGATCGAACGCCTCCAGCAATGAGAGCAGAAACAGCTCAGGTACAAATTATCCCAAACGCAGCGACAGTAAAGCTAGCGCAAAGAATCGTGCTTCTGTGGATAGCCAAAGCAGTCAGCAGTCGGCCCGCGGCCGTGAAAAACCTGAACGAAAGCCATCTGTCGCATCCCGTGCATTCAGCAAGATCAGTCGTAAGTCTTCATCTTCGGACAAGAAGAAGGAAAGGGACTCCGCGAGCTCGACACAATCTCGGGAAAATGAAGGACCAGGATTGCGGGGTGGAGGAAAGATGTACGTGGAGGAGCTGGAAGAGCTGTCATCGTCAGAGGATGAGCATGAAGACAGAACCAAGCAAGAGCATAAGGTGAAGAACGGGGTGGAGATGCGCGGCGGTTCAGGAGAAAAGGACGAGAGCGAGAGTGAGGTTGAGGTTGAGACGGAGCACGAAGACGAAAGCGACGCTGCCGAGCTCGGAAGTTCGGAGGACGAACATTCGGATGTGAGCTCGAGCGATGAGGACGAGATCGCGAGCGAGAAACACGACTCCTCCGAAGACGATGATGACGCGTCGGAGGATGGGGGTTCGGAGTCTGAAATCTCCGATGCTGGCATTTCTGACGCCATTACTTCGGATGACGAATCTGAGGAGGAGGTCTCGGATGATGAGCAGGGCCCGGTACTGAAGAAGCCGATTGAGGTCGTGGGCATCCCAGCTAGGAATGTGGGCAGGGTCAAGGCGTGATGAATCGGTTACCGTATTTTCTTTTCCGCTAGTAGGGTTCCGCAGGCGCGAATCTCTCTCTCGTACTCTTCGCACATATCTGGATCTTATTTGTCATCGTGATACTGATTGATGTCTGTGCTTATTTCATTGTTCAAGTAGGAATTGAATCCATTATCTTGCCGCCTACTCGCGATGGGAAAAGATGCACACCTGTGATACATGAGCTCATGATCCAAAGGATACTCGTGGAGACTGTTTTACCCCTCATCAGAGATCAAACGAAAGTACACTCTCACATTCAAAACGACTGATTCAAGAGGACAATGCAATATATTCCCAGAATGCCCATACCCATGCTACCAAATGCTGAATCGACCTGGTATCCCCAATCTTGCCCAATCCAGCCAAAAGCAAACGCCTGAAATGGAGACATCACAGCCTATCCCAAGAAAAGTCAATCGTACATCATGAGGTAGTGCCTAGATCATGATATACAACGCCCGCCCGCCGACCGTAACGAAAACGCTCATGTACCAATGACCCGGGAAATCGCTAACAAAACAAGGGAAGAAGAAAAGAAGGAAGGAAGGAGTTGAGAAGGGACGAATACACACATGAGGATTAAAAATAATACTAAAGACTTTGGTATAAAGACAAGGCTTAAAGCGAATGCATGTTGGTGGAAAGGAATAGAAAGAAAAGGTTAACGAAGGGTCTCAATATCAAACTTTTGGTCCTTGCGAACCGTGACCTGTGGTCTTCTTCTGCTTCTGCTTCTGATGCTCGCGTGTGTAATCAATAGTTTGGTCAAAGAAAATGGAGTGAGTGAGGTAGTCGGAGAGATCGTTTGATGCTTGTTTGTCGTCATCGTCATCGTCGTCTTCGGCTGGTGATAGGTAATCGTCGTACGAGGGATCTTTGGCTCGCTTATTCGATAGCTTGTCCTTGGATGACGAACTGATGGTATGTGGTTTCTTGGAGGTGTGTTTGGTGTCGGTCGAAACAATGTCCATAGAGTCGACAGCTTTTGGTCCTGCGTACGGACTGCGTCTACTAGGCGCTCGAATGGTGGTGTTTGAGTTCTTCTCTTCCAGAGCTTTGTCTTGGACGTCTTCAACACTCAGCACGTTTGCCGGTCCAACGCTCGGTATTGGCGGAGGTGGCATCGATTTGCGCGCCTGCTTCTGCTTGTCCTCTTTGCGCGGGGATGCCGGGATGGTGAATATAGGAATAGGCTCCGGCTTGATCTGCAGCTCGGCTGCACGTACGCCCTCACCAAACTTGGGGGCTCCTTTCTCATCCCAGAGTCGCTCGTCGATCCTTGCCTCATCTTCGCTAGTGAAGTTCAGGTCCTTGATACTCTCGTCAAGACTGTGGCGTATCCGCTCGCTTTCAGACGATACCCGCTCGGGCTCTCCAAAGCCTGAATCTTGATGCATTGGCATACGGTACCCTTGCGCTATTGAGAAGCCCGTGCCAACTCTGCGAGAAGGTTCCGGACGATCGAAGACAGAGAAGCTGGTGCTGACGCGCGACGGAGGTGAAGTATTGGAGGCGGAAGAGTCCATGGCAACGTCGTATTCCAGGTTGGTGAGCACTCCAGAGGCGGGGATCTGGAATGTTCGACCTTCTTCGTAGCCCGGCGAGGCATCTGAATCTAAGTATCCTTGATCTGGCTGTGTCTGTGCCAGTTCATGTACGCGGGTGCTAAAGGAGGCCTTGTTACCAAACTCTCGATGATCCTGATCAGACGATCCTTGTGCGCTGCTTCGCATAGAGTGTGGCTGGAGTCCACCAACAAACGACACGCTCAACGGAGTGTCATCGGCTGGTCTGCCCCCAAGAAATGAACTCTCCATCTCGTTTGGTGGACTTGTGAGACATATGTCTTTCGGCTCTTGCGTGACAAAGTCATGGACATCAAGGTCGGCGCACCCTCGCTGAACAAGCTTGGTATCACCGTCAACGTAGATCTGCTCCCACCTCGTTTCTCTACTAGCTGGCAGGCTTGCAAGCTCATTCTCGAGCTCTGAGTCGTCGAGCGACATGACGGACCGGTGGCCAGGATAAGGCGAGTATTCGCTTCGTCTGTTTCTCTCGCTGATGCTCAAGGGACCAGGGGATCGTCCACGGTCGGAGCGGTTGTTGGGAATGATGTATGAGCCAGAGGATGCGGGGTATTCTGTGCGCGGTATGTTGATTTCTTCGAATGACGACTGCTGTCTGGAATGGCGGCGGTGTTTGGATATATCCTCGAGGTCGACTGCTGTCCTGGGGTCGATGTACTCCTTGTCGCTTCGATGTGTAGAAACACTGCTTCTTATGGCAGCCTTGGGCTTGAAGTCCCGGTCTAGTATATCGTCAGGGAATTTCTTGAGCAGGCTTGCCGCTGACGGTCTCCCTTGGGGTGAGTCACTGAGCAGGGCTCTGATAATATCGCGGAAGTACACCGGTACATCTGTGTTTGGTCGATCGAGGGTGCGAGTTAGTGGTCGCTGTTGGCGCTCCGGCTCGTCTTGCAATTCGGCTAGCGCCCACAGTACCATGCCCAGTTGAAAGAGATCAGACTTGACGCCGATGTATATTGTTACACGCTGTCCGCTTTCGACCAGCCTAGCCAGTTCAGGTGATTCCCAGCCGACAGGGCAACCGCGACGGTTGATATCGATGATCTTGGCGTTGTCGTCGTTGTCTATGACAATGTTTGAGAGGGTGAAGTCGCCTTGCACAAATCCAGCTTCATGAATCTCGGACAGACCCTCGACGATCTGTCGTGCCCACCGCTCGCGGCGTTCCCAGGTGAGTTGGCCCATGGGTTTGTATTGGCTTGTGGGCTTGAAGTCGTAGATGACGTCCACCAGCGCACCCAGCTCGGCATAGCTAATGAGTAGCCCTTTGATGAGCTCGTTCTGCTCATCGACTATGACGCCTTCAAATCTGATGACTGACTTGGATTCTTGCAGGCTGACAAGAGCGTTGATCTCATATAAAAACTCCTCGACCGCGTCTGGACCCGGGATCTCCTTCTTAATGTACGTATTGTTGTTGACGGAGACCTTGTATACGAAGCCTGAGATATGAGAGTCGAAAGAGATGGCGCTCTCTCGGAAGCGCTTGCAGTCGAGGTGTTCGATGGCTGACGTGGGCGGGTACGGGATAGCCTCGTTGATATCCTCGGTGACGTGTACATGGAGACGACCGTCGGCAGTTTCGAGCTTGAGGTTTGTAACGGTGTCGTAGAACTGGATATCGGGTAGGGAGTCGCGGATGGCTTCGTAAATGCGCTTGCTCTTGTCGCGTTGGTAGTGCATCGTCTTGAGATCCGCCTCGAGTGAGTCGGCCTCGAGATGCCGGTAGTCGCATGATACTGTAACTCGCCTCCATTTGGTGGGCTCCTCGGCAAAGGTGACGAAGAACTTCTCGCGGTCCGACAGGTCGCGGAAGTGCATGCTGAGGTTGAGGATCCACTTTGCTTCAAGCTCCTCCTGCAACCGTACATCGTCGATGTCTGAGCCTGAGTGATGCGAGCCGCGGTCTGAAAAGGCATCTGCTACTTCGACTGGCGGGAGTTGCGGGGGCCCCTCAATCGTAGACATTTCGCCGGCCGACATGTAGTCTTCGGTTTCTTCAATGCCATAGTCGACCTGGCGTGCGCCTGCTGGTATATTGGAGTCGGGACCGCCGCCAATGGTGCGCTCTATACTGGGAAATGACTCCATTTCTGGCAATGACGCCTTCTCCTTCTCGCTGTGACTCTCGTGCGGACTCAGCACGTCTGGAGCGGACATGGACGGCACAGACATGGGAGGGGGCGAGGGGTTTCGCTTCGAGGGCACGGAGCTCTTGCGGTCTTCCGAGACAGCTCTTCGATGTTCCGTCTCGGGCACCTCGAGCAGCTTGTCTCTCTTCTCGCTCTGCATTCGCTTGAAGGTCAGGGGCCTCGGCAGACCTGGGATCACTTTTCTGCTGCCTCTCCGCCCCAGCAGTCCGCCGCTCGAATGAGGCCTCGTGATCTCCTTGCTGTCCTTGTTCTCTTTGCTCTCCTTGGTCACGCTCTCGGACATCCTGGGCTTGGTGGGCGAGGGCGGCGGCGTGTGCTCGTCCTTCTTCAGCCAGGAGCCGATCTTCTGGAAGTTGAGGCGGTCCCACATGCTCCTATGCTCACCCACTTCGGTGCGCGCGCGCTGGCGGCTGCGACTCCTGCTCGAGTCGCCATTGTCGGCCGATAGCAGCGGCATCTCTTATCACCCTCTGCCAGCCTTCGGGCGTGACGTTGGCGGGCGGGCGCGCTGCGGGGAGGTTCCTGGTCGGGGTGGTTCGATACGGGTCGACTGGATTGGTGCTATCGATTTGGCGCCGACTGCATGCTGTGTCGCGGTCCTGTGTAACTGTGGCTGTCTGCGGCCATGGATCTACGTGATGCTCCGTGCCACGCCACCTGCTCGCTGCAGATTCGAGGGCTGCAGAATCTGCACGACAATCTCCGTGCCAATGACGAAAATACCGCGGTCGTCTATTGTTGACGCCCAAGCGACATGCGCCCAAATGAGCAAACGGGCCGCAGGGCAATGCACGCGGATGTCGCTGGTGAGGCTCGGCGGGGGTCTGGTCAGGAGCAGGGCGGCGACGAGGAGGCTGGCGGTGGTGTGCTAGAGGCGACGCGATGCAATGTGCGATGATGAGTCGTCCCAAGCAACATGGGATGAAGGCGACTGAGGCTGGGGGCGCGGAGCCAATGACAGCGCGCAGGCGGGTGAACGGTTGAACACCGCCTTAGCGTATCCCAGGCAAAGGCGCCAAATCACAATTCCAGAGGCGACTGTCGGCACCTCACACACGCCTAAGCCTTCGGTCCCAGGTGGAAGACAGCAGACGGGGAAGAATCAAATAATGCAAAGGAGAAGTAAATTTTTGCAGCGCCCCCCTATGGTAGCCATGTATCTGCTGTACAGCTGGCGGTCAAGCGCCAACACCACATTGGACAGAAAAGGCCCTCTGCCTGCAGCGGCCGCAGCACC